TTACGTGCATACATATATATATATATATATATATATATATACACGCGTTAGGAAGGGGATGACTCGAAGGGACATTGCTCCCTGGCCTCGCCTGCCCTGCACTGCTCCGCTGCGCCGTGTCCAGAAAGGATCCACCTATCGTCCTGCACTCTCACGGTCCCTTACGGACCGTGACACCTTCTTCGGCCTCCACGTGACGTTTCTTCCGGCCGGACAGGTACTGTGTCCCAAGCAACGCTTCCTGTTCCTCCCTTCCTCCTCCTCCTACTCTTCCTCCTCCTCTTCCTTCTCAGGGGGAGAGGCGAGTAGGATACTTCTTAAATAAGTACTAAATAAATAAGACGAGATAAACGAATAAGATGGATAATAAAGGGAAAACAATAATAATAATAACAATAATAATAATCCCGATGCCGATACCATGATTTACTCCGATCACTTGGCCGCGATTCTTCCTGCGATCTTTCGCGAGAAGGGAGGGAGGGAGAGAGAGAGAGGAGGGGGAAGGAGGCAGAGAGAACGCTCGGAGCGCTCCCATCCATTTTTCCACTTCTCTCTCTCTCTCTCTCTCTCTTCTTATTAACAGGAGGAGGATTTTTATTAACCCTTTGCACAGGTTGCGCTCGTTTTCGAAGCAGCAACCTCGAGATGATTTTTACATGCAGTAGCGTGTTACGTATACGTGTAAAATGATTACGTGTATAAAGAATGAACGAAGCGGGGGTCGAAACGGTGGAAATCTAGGAAATGAAAACCGGAAGAAAAAGAAATAAAATAAGGGGATCCGCCGATCACCCAACGATTTTATATGCACGACTTACTGTATATATATAAAACGCGTTGCGTATACGTGAAATGATTATTACACAAAGAAATGATATGTAGAAGGAAGAAGATTTCGAAACGAAAACGAAATCTAGGATAGGAAGTTATGTTAAATAAAATAAAGGGAACCAACCCCTCCCCTCCCCCAACAGGTGGTTACGCCATCTCTTTTATTTTAACGGGAAGGATAAAACCCTCATCCCTTGGCGCGATGATCGAAGCCATCCGCCGCCGGTGGATGAGGCCCCCCTCTAGTTTTTTCGACCGAGCGAGCGAGCGAGCGAGCGAACGTCTTTGGCCGCCCGCCGTCGTTTTCTATCCCCGTGTATTCGGCCCCCCTCGCCCTCCCCTTCTCGCCCACCACCCAACACGGACTTTCTATCCCCGGGCCGCCTTTCAGCTTTTTTCCCTTCTGCCTTCTTCTCCTGCCCTCCCCCCCACCTCTCCTCTTCTCCCTCCCTCCCTCCCTCCGCCCGTGGTGCCGGCCATCTACGTCCCTACGTGCGCGCACCTCTCTCTCTCTCTCTGTCTGTCTCTCCGTCCGTCCGTCCGTCCGTCTCCGTCTCTCCGCCCGTCCGCCCGTCTCTCTCTCTCTCTCTCTCTCTCTGTCTTTCTTTCTCTACGTGACTATCCGCATCCCTATTCCTGACTTCTAAATCTAACCCTAGGTCTAACCCAACCTGGAGGCGCCCTTATCCACCCAGACGGCGGCTGGCGTGGATGGGGAGGTGTATATATATCCCCACCACGGCATCCCTCATCGAGGGGTCGTTGATCCCCCAAGGACAACGACCTTGCGTCTGCGGCAGCCAACCGTTCGAACGGTTCTGGGTTCCCGGATTCCTCGATTACCAATATCTTTCAAGCTCCTCGCTTCTTCTTCTTCTTCTTCTTCTTCTTCTTCGTGTTCTTTTGCACCCCAACCGTCTCTTCTTCTTTCTTCATTTCTCCTCGTTCGCTTTCATAGATCTCATAGACGTCTCTATCCATCGTTTTCTTTCCTTTCTATCGAGGTATCAATGGCGGGTAGAGGGAGGAAGAAGACAGAGAGAGAGAGAGAGAGAGAGAGAGGAAGTAGCGACAAGCGATCCTCTCTCGGAAGGCAGGTTCGCGGAGGAAACCAGTCGTCGAACCGATATCGTGAACAGTTAGTTAGCCC